TTTTCAGATTAATTGAGATTACCGTGATTAGAAAGGCAAGAGCATCGAAATTCAAAATCTCCTTTTTTTTCTGAAAATTTTTGTACGAAAGTCGTAATAGTAGCCCCTTCATAATACAAGCCCCCCCCTAAAAATTTTGAACGCTTGGACAGTTTAGAAGCCCCGGAGGCTTCTATTATGGGGGGGGGGTTTATTTTATTCATAAACAATAATAGATCCACTGTTTTCATAAGGAACATAACGTTGATGAATTTGTTTAATAACGAACAATAGAAATAGTATCATACTGACGATAAAAATGAACTTGAGGATATGTCTCTTCTCGTTCGTGTTTTGTCACAAGCTCGAAATAGTACACTACGAGAACGTTAGTAACTTGTTTGAGAAAAACTTTATCTTCATGTACCACAATACTAATATTCTCCCTGACGTCATTTTACAGCTACCAGCCAAGTTTTATTATCCCAGATTTTCTTTCCAGAGTCGCTCTTTCTAGTGTTCTCCTATTCTTAAACTTAACGATCCGAGTGAAGCATCTTTACTGATCCATCTCTACATGGCATGGAGTACTGATGGCATGGCATCTCTACTGATATCGGTGCCGATTCGATGCACATTCGCACTTGTCTAAGATCCGTACACACTCGTGCACACCAATGCGAATGTAACGTAGCATCTCGTTGACACAAGGGTGCACGGATTTACCGTATTTTTAGTAGTTACGATAGTTCGTTTATTTCTCTTCTCTTTACTGAGTGACCGATCAAGCAGACGCTATTCTTTGATTTTTGTGCTTGGATTTTCTCACAGCCATGATATAGAATATCAATATCACATTTAATAGTTTTTCTTGTATTGAAAATATTTTCCAATTGCTTTCTTTTCAGAAAAGTTTTCTAGAATAGTTTATTCAAAAGTTCTCAAGTTTCGCTCATCCTAGTGTTTATTTTGGCTATTCTAATGAATAATTCATACATTCGTCTTTATATTACATTTATTTTTTTATCAGTTTACTTCGTTATTAATACACAAAGTGATTCCCTTTCTACTTTGGAATCAACTATAATTGCTCATGGTGGACAAGTGTTGCGAATAACTGATCCTCAATACAAAGCAGCAGCCACTCTTCATAATAGAGCAATACAAATATGGCCCGATCTCATATTACGTCCTGCGACTTATGATGATGTTTCATTAGCACTTTCAACACTTTCTTCTCTTCAAATACCTATTCGTATAATGGGAGGTCGACATAGTTACGGCGGTTATTGTAGTCATCAAGGTATAGTTCTTGATTCTGCACTTCTAAAAGGCCTTAAAATTGATTTGGCAACTGAAACGGTAATTATGCAAGCAGGTGTTATATGGGACGATGTTTATAGAGCTTTAAATGGATCTGAATATGTTGTACTGGGTGGATTATGTCCAACAGTAGGTGTTGTAGGTTTTGCATTAGGCGGTGGTTATAATGCGATGTATAGTCGTTCGTTTGGTCTTGCATCCGATAATGTCCTTAACTTTACAGTAGTATTATACAATGGAAGTGTTGTGACGGCATCATCTAAAACTAACTCAGACCTATACTGGGCACTTCGTGGTGGTGGAGGTGGAAATTTTGGTTATGTTGTAGAAATGACACAAAAAATACATCGAATCAATGAAACAAAACTGCCAAATGGTCAATTTTCATTTTTAAATATTACTTGGGTAAAGGCAGATACCAGAACAGCTCTTACCAATTGGTTGACATTTTTAAAAGAGGTTGGTGATACTGATACTCGTATTTCTTTCAATGTAATTGTGATTGTTAACGGGGGAAGTGACGTTCTTATGATGTACTGTTCATTCAACGGGCCACACGTAGAAATTGACTCAGTGTTTGGACTGTGGTTGTCACAAAATCCGAAACCAACCTTTTTCAACGTGTTCAACTATACACAATCTGATATAAGTAGAGAACTGGGTATTCCATTTCCTGTAGTAAACCGAGAACATGTTTTATCGGCTATGGCTATTAATATCACTGACGCTATGTTGGATGTTATTTTGGAATTTCAACCAAATTCTACTGCTGAAATTGGATCATGGACGGAACTCATTTATCTCAATAATGCGAACAAAGATAAAGATACAGCCTACGCTTTTCCTGATATTTCATTTGATATTGCCCCAGGTGTTTCATGGAAGAATCCCGATACTGACCCTTATGCAATAGAAATGAGTGAAAAATTCCTACAGAAGTTAATAGATGCAGCAGCACCTACAAAAAGTATTGTTGGAGCATATCTTAATTATATTGATCCATATTTACCAAATTGGCAAACAATGTACTATCGTAATCATTGGGATCGTCTGCGAGAGATTCAAACAAAATGGGATCCGACATGGTATTTTCGCTTTCCACAGGGTATTCCACCCTATAAGCAACAGTCGAACGCATATAAATTAACGAACAAAAACATGGTTACTATCGGTAGCCTCATTATGTTAGTATGGTCACAATGGTTTTGTCTAAACCACTAACATTTGCTATAACTCTCAAAAGTCCACAGACGATACAAAAGTTAATTGAATATACATTGATAATTAAAATAAAATTGTTGACGTATTAAATAAAGATTGATACTTTCATATGAAAACTACCTGCTTTTTCCTCGCAACGATTCACGCTGGGAGACCGCGATATTCGGATCGGGCATGTCGGAAAACGGTGTTCACCTAGGTTTCGTCTTGAAGGCAGACAAAAAGTTCCCGTCGAAATTTTTGCCTGAGGTCCCCTCAGGTGTTTTGCCTAAAATTTAGGACGAAAACTTTTTATTGAATCTGAATATGTATAATAATGCCAGAAACAAATTCCACTGAAATTTTGCATTACCTGCACCTTACGTTTTCTTGGATTTTTGGTTTATTGGAATTTCTGTGTTTCAACTTTTGGATATTTGTACTTCGAACCTTTAGGTTTTGTGAAACACGATTATTAATGATTGCTGAAGTATATAGCGAGGAAAGTGAACCATTCCCCGGCCTGTCCCGCAGGCACGTGACAGACATGTTGGATAAAATTCTCCGGCGTCACAGACTGTGACAGACATTGCGACATGCTAGTTTTTGAACCTCACAGACCGTGATAGACATTTCGATATGCTTGCCTATTGAGCCCTGATGGATTATGATAGACGTGGCAAGTGCTCTCGCTTACAATTCAAGTGACTCTATTCTAGTTTGAGGCTTGGAACAAGGCGTTAGACGAAACTAGCAGAACTTTACTATTGTTTTTTAAGCTTCCATGGTGAAAAGCTTGTATTTGAGCGTTATTTCTCGAACCAAAGTAGCTATTGGAAATCTGAGATTGTCATCGGATAGTGGTCTGTGTGATCTACTTGGAACAAGAGTATGAGGTTTGGAACATGATAACAACGTAGGTGAAGTTGGAACCAGATTCAAGTAATTCTGTGTCAGATTAGCGTGACACCATGTTCCAAACCTCATACTCTTGTTCCAAGTAGATCACACAGACCACTATCCGATGACAATCCGATGAAAAACTCAAATTACTAAGAGGATCTCAAAAATACAAAAACCGTCCTCTATGGTGGAATTGACTTTTTGAGTTGGTATTGCAAGATGGAAGGTTCGAGCAATATTTTTCTAAATTAGCATTAAAAACTGATTTAGAAAAAAGTTTTCAGCTCATTTCAGAGGTAAACAGTGGTCCGCCATGGACGTCCGAACCAACGGCTGTCAACTGAGTATGACTCATTTGTAAACCTATATAGTTTTTTGGGTGAAGGACTATATCGCTGATTCACACACCATCAGATCGGCCAACACGCCAGCTTTAAAAATATGTAGAGCTTCTATCAAAATTGGTTTTCCATGCTGTGAAAAACGGCTTTTACTGAAAACCAAAGAGAAACAGCGAGATGACCTTTGGAAAACCAGGCCGTGTGTAAAACTTTTCAATTGGATTGTATTGATTTTCTTCCATGCTACGATAGACCAAGGTATCCTCTTCAAAGTGAGAGTCAAGTGAGACCTTGGTTTTCCGCGGCTCGGGCGTTGTGTCGGATTTCTTGCGAGTCCCAGGACTGACACTGGGTGACTATTGGTAGCCTTGAAAACGGATGGACTATAGGTAATCGATCATGCTGAGTCTTGCGGCAATATTTGTTTTAGAAAAAATTCTAAAAGTCTACCAAAAGGCGAGTTTTCCGAAAATTTGGGTTTTCAGGCTGTTTTCATCTATTAAAAAATTCACTATTTACTCAATAAACATCAGAACGGGTTCAAGACTTCAGAATATAGAGTATTTAAGCTATTCTATATGCTATTTATAGGAGATCTTAAAAGAAAGTTTACAAAATCCTAAGGTTTTTCAAAGGGGTTTCTGGAAAACCTATTAACACAAATATGCGTTTTCGATTTTTTCTATCTTATAATCCCATTTAGCGGAGAAAATCGGTCAGGTCCTGTAGCTCTCAGCTCCTTGTGATGTTTATTGAGTGAATAGTAAATTTTTTATAAGATGAAAACAGCCTGAAAACCCGAATTTTCGTAAAACTCGCTTTTCGGTAGACTTTTAGAATTTTTTCTAAAAACAAATATTGCCACGAGACTCAGCATGATCGATTACCTATAGTCCATCCGTTTTCAAGGCTATCATCAAAAATTATGGCTATCACATAGTTTTGAACTCTGTAAAATCAGCTAGAGAAAATGAGAAATGCACTCACTTATCCGCAGAATCAAATAAAGATATACAGTCGCAACTTTTCGATTCGAGCAGGCGTCATGTGATAAAGCAGTACTGCGACTTTATCCGCTCTTTCGCGCGTTCGACAAAAATGGCTTTAGAAACGAAAGAAGATTATTTTTTCTTGTTACATTTCACTTTAGCAAAAACAAGAAACAATGCCTGATGGTCAACAATTTAAAACTTTGACCATTTAAATAGTCTTTTTTTTTAATTCTATTACTTTACTCAATAAAATAAATAGCAATACATCTACCAAACACGAAAACAATCTTCGAAAGTAAATCATATTTTGGACGTGATCTCTCTTTTGCCTGGTAGTGAAAATAGTCGTAGTTCACATCACTGGTGGTGGCAACAGCCGTTTCGATAAATAAATGGCTGCATACCTGTTGGTCTACTCACAAGTAGCATAAACTCGAGATAAAGTTAAAGAACCAGCCTGGAAGGCTGGAACTGTTTGAGGGATCTGCTTTGACTAATATGGGATGTCTGAGGATCCTCAGAGCGTTTCAAGAAGACTTAATTTCTGAAGTGTTTTTGGAATAAAACTACACTCAACCGTACTATCTGGTTGAATCTCTCTGACTTTTACTGTCAGAAGTTATCATGAATTTAAGTTTCATACGGCTATTGAGGAGACAAACAAACAAACATACAGATATTTTATCTTTTGCACTAGTTATCCCTCATAGAAAAGAGATCATACGCTGCTTTGATAATTTCATTTAATATTTGTTCATTCTGAATTAAATATTGTGTGATATTCACATAATAACTTCGAGCTACTCATCGTCATTGGGTGTACAGACCTAATGTTGTTTCCAAACCCACTTGCTTTGGAATAATGATTATATGCTGAGACATTTTAGATGTTGTTTTACGGGACCCATCATTAAGCATTAAAATCTGTTTTCTTGTATAATACAAAACAGAAATTAGTTTACAATGTTTAACTGATTGTATAATTTTATTCCCACATGGTAAGGGAATTTAGAATGAATTCTTCATTGAGATGAATCCAGGACTGAGTGTAGCCCTGGACTGCACGCAATCCTAGCGTATCTTAACCCAGCATAACTGAGAAATGTTGTAAACTTCTCTGATTTCACGAAAAAATTGCACAATGTAACATAAACCTGAAAAGTTTTCTGGACGCCCTCAGAAGATCCGAAGCGAGCCGGCGACTATTTCCGATGGATTCACCATGGTAGATTATCTATATTCTGTAACTTTTATTATCTGTGGATGACTTTTTTTATGTTATCAAAACGAACCGATCTCTGGCGATATCTGTCTCCCAACTAGAGAAAAAGTACGGTTAGCTTTTTATCTCTCTTTATCAGCAATATTATTTTCAGTCATGTTTTTGAATATTTTCTCTCTCGTATAAAAAAGAATTTTCTACTTTTGTCTGTTGTGGTTGTGATTGGCTTATCCATGTAATATCTATCAGCCATTTTTCCGTATTTTGCGCACACACAGACAACCATTTTGTAATATCCTAGACTAAAGTCAACAATGTCAAGGGAATAATCTGCGCCGTAAAAACGTTGAGAAATCTTCAAGTTCGTTACGGACGTAACGTTCGACTGAATAGGTTCGGTATTGTCTGAACAGTACCGTACGAGCTGTGAATTTTGGCGTATCGTTGGCACAATACAGTACAGAATACAGTAGATAAGAATTAATATAAATGAAAACAATATCTAACAAAAACCCAAAAAACTATTCAAGATTTATACAGATATCGAAAATCCGTCAAGATTCTGTTAATTAATTAATAACGAATTAATTGCTCTGTTAGAATTAGTTACATATATTAATTAAGATCTTGATCAAGTTTTTTCAAGACAGACTTATTCAAGCGGTTTTAGGTAATGCTGAAAGCCTCAGAATCAATAAAACTCGAAGATTGAGCAGTAGATATTAAATATGAGAATACAAAATATATAACTGCTGCAAGAATCATGTATAATTAAATAAAAAACACTCAGTTATTAGCGAGCTTGAGATACGTATCTTTAGGCTAAATGAGTAAAAAAGCCCTCACCCTCACCTAAAAATAGATAATACAGAAATGAATGAACTGAACTTTTGGTTTAAAGTAACTTTTTACTATTCTTTGAACTGTTTTTCTTTCGTATTTTTTCATCATATGTTTTAAGTAAACATAGGAAGCGTCACCGATCGAAAAATAACTAAGTAATTTTTTTATTTAATTAGCAATAATCTTTACAGCAATTATATATTTCTTATTCAGATAATAATGCACTCATTTTTAAAGTTTTGCGCCACTTCGATACGTATGTGCTTTAGTACTGACCGATACTGTTGGTAACAATAGTATTAGCTGTCTTTTTCTGTTTCATCCTTACCATAAATGTGTTTTTTTACAAATCCCCGCTATGAGTGGACGAATATTTTTATTTTCTCTATAAAAATTTTAATTTTCTAGTTTCATATTTATGGATCCTGACAAAGACATCGAGGAAATAACCATGATTATGAATGACCAAGTAGCAGCCTGGAACAGAGGTGATATCGATGAATTTATGAATGTTTACTGGAAATCGGACAGTTTAGCATTTATTAACAAAAACGGAATTAAATATGGCTGGAAAACCGTACTGGATGATTACAAACAAAGATATCCAAATAAGGATATGATGGGAAAACTTATATCTGGTATTTTAAAAATTGAATTACAATCTCCCGTTTCGGCTTTTCTTGTCGGCAAATGGGATTTAAAACGTAAAGAAAATAATGATGTTGGCGGCTATTTTACCCTGCTTTGGAAAAAAATAGACGGAAAATGGTTAATAACGACGGATCATACCAGTTAAAAATATTTTCTTTTTGAATGGAAAAATCATTATGCATGTATGAATCCAATTGTGCTTGAATCGTATAACTTAGTCACTCAGAAACGTTTTAGACATTGGAGAGTGTTCAGCAAAACTATGAAATATTTTGAAGCTTCGTCAAAACATGTAGTTATAGTTGATATCATTTGATTTCATTGATTTACTAAAGATGTCATTTTATTTGTTTATAAACTTTTCTATATAGATCTCTAAGTTTACTAACTGTCTTTGCTTGTATACACTAGCCGAAGGTTTATGGCATTTTATTCTTCAGACGAAATTCACACTATAGAAAGTGAATGAAAAAAAATTAAGAATAGATGGCATGACATCCGATTGAGTATAGGCGTGTTATTTCAGCACTGCGCACATCAAGTGAAGATTTCGAAGTAGAGCTTATAAAGCTTTACCACAAGGAGCACTCTTAGAAAGCTACGTACAGAATGGTCCGGCGTTTCTGTAACTAAATAAGTGATTGTAAAATATTTATTCAATATATAATGACAATGAACAATGAAAACAACAAATAAAATTAACTAACTTGTCGGTACACCGCTAAATTATATAATTGAAAGAAAAACAAAAATATCTATGTTTTTTCTAACATCACGAATTAAACAAGCTTTAATTTTTCTGTGATTGGTTTTCTACACGTGTGACAAATGTGTAATAATTGTGCACATTCGACGCAACATGAATGACCACAAGATACAAATACAATATTTTTTTCTCGGTCCATACAAATTTGACACTGAATACGTTCTTCTAATATTTGAATTTTATTTTCTAATTCTTTATTAACGGTATCGGACGATGGACTTGAGTATATATCTAAACAGACAGAGAGCTTGCTGTCAGTAATTTAACAAAAAAAAAATCTTCCAAAGATGCCTACTACTCTTGGACTTTTCCGGATTTTCCTTGACATGATCTTTTGAATTTTCTTTAAGAATCATCTAAATGAACTCTTTTTTTCGTGTATTTATATTTTTATATGATTGTTTTATTTTTTCTCACTTGCTGTTCATTCAAACTTGTTACTGAAAGTGAAGTATGACTAATCGGTTGCTGTTCTCTGAGACCGACAGAAAAAAAATGTTCAGGTATAAAACAAAAACAAGAAATCTTATTTTACTTTAATATCTTTTCTGCTAACGTATGTATTTCCTGTTCTTTGTCTTCATATTGCGAAGGATTCTCAGGTTGTTGAGAATTCCTCTCAGAACATGTCAATAGAGTGGAAGATGACAAAGAATTTTCGTTTTGTTGCTGATGGTATGGAATTTCATGATCTATATAGAGAACAAATAAAATATTAATTACTGTATAACTTATATTATGCTTTGTTTTTAAAAATATTTACCGTTGACTTGTGATTCTAATAATCTGCCGGAATTCGTCGTGGCATTATTAATAGGAACATTTAATAAATCTTGTGGCATTTCCAAAGATTTTTGTTGAACTGAACAATAATTCTTGAAATAAATTGATATAAAATGCGATAAAAGCTTAGAAAATTAGGTTAGGTTTAGGCTAATATTGCCTGTTTTAAATTAATAAGTTTTAGAAAAATAAAAACAGGCATACAAAATCAATGTTCTTGTTGACAAAACATTTCTTAATCATAGTCTTTATAATGGGTGGCGCATAAAGAATGAGCCTCTCAGTATTTTGTGAATATCTCTCGCAGTTTTCGATGCTCTGATTTGATTTTTTCTTCAAAAGATAGCCTGTGCAATTCTCTACAAAATCCATGACAGCTCTTTAAACTGGTGACTAGAAAAACATATGGTCAGCAAAATGCTATACTCCAAAAAGGTCCACTTTCAAGCTACTGTTTCTGGTTTTTGTAAGTTTGCGTCGCTCTTTGACCACATACAGAGCAAACTGAATACGTCACTTTGTAGTCCATGAAAAGCTCTATCAGTTGACTGAATACTTTTTTGGCATACTATAAATCTGTCTGAACAAAATATTTCGTTTGTGCTCCCTTATTCACGTTATAGTTAAGTCAAATATACATTTAATACGTATTCAGATTTATTGCCGAATTGAAAGAAAGTATATTTTCTTTTATTTCTGCCCGAGCGAACTGTTGCGAAGCCTCTTTTCTATAATAACAGACTCGACTAAGGAGAATGATCAGTGGTTCTAACTCGTTTTTTTTAAGAACATTGGCCACTGCAACCTCATAAACATCACTTCGAAGAGCTCTTCCCATTGGATTTTGTAGAGAATTGCACAGACTATCTTTTGAAGAAAAAATGAAGTCAGAGCATCGAAAACTGCGAGAGATATTCACAAAATACTGAGAGGCTCATTCTTTATATGCCATCCGTTATAAATTTAATTTATTAAAAAGTCTTATTATTGACCTATTAGATGTCGACTCTTTAGTCTAAACTTTTTGAATGTTGTTCGAAATGACACTTCGAACCCTCAATATGAGCGTTCGAGGGGTATTGATTTCAAGCCCTTGAACAGAGATGTTCGAGATTTCCGAGCCCTCGTCGCACCATCGGAAGAGCGAAGGTTCGGAAGTCCCGAACATCTCTGTTCGACGGCTCGAAAATTTTCTCGAGAGCTCGTTGCCTATATGAAATCCGAGGGCTTGAAATGGATACCCCTCTAAAACTTACATCGAGGGTTCGAGCCCTCGGCGAGGGCCTATTTTCACATTCTCTCAGAGTCGAACAGATAAATTAGAAGATTCTTTCTATTAGATTGATAGTTGATCTATCTTACCTGATGTTCTTCTATCTCACCAAATTCATACAATATGTTACAAAATTCACATGGTACTCGATTCTCTTGGTTATTATTATTTCTATGAAAAAAAATGAAACGTTGGTATATTACCCAAAATGATCGGAAAATATGTTTAAAAAAAATCGTGATCAACTTACAAATTTAAAACCAACGATGTTCCAATGTTCTTGAATTCAAATGATAAAATATATTAAGTAAAATTTACTGAATTCAGATACTTACATGACATCGTACTGTTACAATTTCGGTTCCTGTTAGATCTTTAATAGTTTGGACTACATTCTTCAGCCACGACATATTTTTATCTGTACTCTAATTATTAGTAGATTCTAACACTGAATTACTATTTTTTATAAACTGAGAAGAGAATGAAATAGGTTTTATTTGCTCGTTCATTCATGCATCTTTTTCTATTTTCATATTCGAGATGTCTGATAAAATTTTATATTTTTTTCCAACACAATCAGCATATAATATATTATTTATATGAAATCATGCAAATTAATACGATAAAAAGGAACTGTACAAAACGAAATCGATTATTGTGGCATAAATATGATATTTTTATGTTGAAAAAAACCCCACAGTAATATACGTTTTCAAAGAAAAAACACGAAACTATTTGTATAAATAACTGCTGACAAGTATTGATTATATGTATGACTCATATACCTGAGTGTATAATTAAAAGATAATAAGCATTATTGGCAAGATAAAGATATTTTTCTAACCACAAATCTAGGCCGAATATCAAAAATCAGGCTCGATTTGCCTCTAGCCACATGTGTCAGCTTTAATTTAAGACCTTCCGGAGCTCTCTGTGATGTTTCATTTCTGAGAAATGTTACAGCTACGAAATGATGTTGCGAGATATGGCAGCGCCAGTATCTGCTCGGCCTGTCCAGCTAACTGTAATTCTGTAACTATTTTTGTTGATTTTGTTTTATTTGCAGAAATTTTTTAAAAGGTCAGAACTCAAAAGTGAATGAGCCATTTTGTAGACAATTCAATTCTCTATCGACTGATCTGGTTTTGAAAGGTTTTAGCGAAAATCTCTTGGTTAGGAACTTCAAAACACTGAGAGCTACTTTTTGCATATCTTTTTTATAAATTTAGTAGAACGTCTCTCATTGTTTTGAATTTCCTAACCAAGAGATTTTCGCTAAAACCTTTCAAAACCAGGTCAGCCGATAGAGAATTGAATTCTCTACAAAATGGCTCATTCACTTTTGAGTTTTGACTTTTTGAAAAATTTCTACAAATAAAACAAAATCAACAAAAAAACGTTACGGAATTACATACGCAGATGGAGATAGCTGGACAGACCGTGATGCAAGTTTTAGGGTTTCCAGAAGAACTCTCATAACTCTTGATTAGAACATCATTCAGGGCTGGGAGACATCTCATACTGATCATAAATGTTTGTTGTTGTTTATAGAAAATAAATTTATTTTCTGGTATTCTTGAAAGTATTTTTGTATATTTGTTAAATTTTTTTATTTTCCCGTTTTGGTGAGACAAGTCACGTAGAAAATGTAGCAATGGGACCCTTTCTTTTGGGTGTTCATTGGAAATGTATGCTTTGAAATGCGCAACTATAAAAACATTTTTAGGTGTTTGTTAGATGTTTCGATACTCAGTTCAACGAGCTCTATCCATTGGTTAACCCGGTTTTTCGTTTGGGCGGTGTTCGCGTCTTTTAGTAATATCCGGAATCTTTATAATCTAATCTTTTTCATCTAATCGAAAATTTTTTCTATTAATCAATTTCTACAATAGTGACCGTTGCATTTTTTATTTGTTCGCCGAGAATGTTTTTACTTTTCATTATAAAACAACGTCAGAAAATATATATTTGAATTTTAAATTGAAAATACTACTTTATGCTTGCTAAAGTTGCATGACATACTGTACACATGTATTTGAAAAGTGCAAAAAGCGCCAGAAAACATCGTCAAATAATGAAGCATGTAAAAGATAAAGTCAGTAGTAAATAATATTTATTTAGTGACAGATTATATTTAGAGAAAAGAAAATATGATTAATTGTGTGAGGTACCATAAAATGCAAATAAGGACGAGAAAACTTATAACGGGTGTTTCAGAATAAATCGGTCACTTAGTATTTTGCTCATATCTTAGTTGAATTGTATCCTCTAAGCTTTGTTGTTTTCTTAAAAGATGTGCCGTAAAATTCTCTACAAAAAATATATTAAACATTTTTCTATATATCGTAAAGATGAAAGAATATAGAAGAAATACTGCGAAGCTTCAATCTCGATTACTTTGCAATTCAAGAAACAATGAAAAACAAATATTTTGAAAAAATATTTGAGCGTCGTGTCATGCATAAAGGTGGAATCATGAACATAAGTTCTGGTGCTCTGAAGGGTCGTCTTTCTTTTCGTCTATCATAGGTTCGGCTTAAACGTGTTTTTTCTGGC